ATAGGGGTATTCCAGGAAGAGGTAGTAATTTGTTCTTATCACAAGGAGGCCTTGACAACTGCAACCTAGTAATTTTCCAGAGGTCATACTGGGCCTGTGGTCCCTTACAGCCCTCCCTGCGCCTGTCACCAAACACACCTTGCTGTGATAGGCGGGAGGGAGGGCCACACGTATGTCACCTGTCTACACAGATGATTACAGCTATCATCAGGATTTGGGAGGCCACAGAAAATGGGTAAATAGATGTAATATGAACAGGTATCCTCTTGCCAGTGGCTTAAATTTAACATGCTTGAACCAGAGCTCACCACATTCTCCTCTCAGCCCACTCCTTCCCAGACCTACCTGTTCCTGACCAGGGTCCCAGCACCCTTGCAGCCCACAGATCCACACCCAACAGGCTTCCATCTCTTCACTCTCCACAGCCAATCAGCTGTGAGAGCCCAACTTGCACAGCCACAGAATCCCTCCATCCCTCCCCATTCCCTCAGCCGCTTCTATCCCTCTAGCCTGGACTATTGGGAAGTGATGGCAGCAGCTCCCACCTGCCAGATCCAACCCTAATGCCAAAGTCTCCCCCCACCCCCGGTCCAGCCCAAAGACCTTCTTTTGTTCTCCATGGCCTTGAGGAGAAAAAACAAACTCTTCATCCTTGGCACTTCAGCCCTTTCCCCTCGACCCTGGCTCCAGAGGAGCTGCCCGTCTTATCGCCTGTTCTTTCTCTTTGTACAGTCTGTGCTTCACCAAACTAGACCCCCTAGCTCCTGCCTCCTGCGACTGGCACAGGCTGTCCTCATGCCTAGAATGTCTGCCTGCCTCTTGTCCACCTTGAAGTCACAATCTACTTAGATAGCTTTTCCTCTAAATATGGTGTGCCCCTCAGGAAAATGTCAGTCAACAAACATTTGTTAAGCACCTACTATGAGCCAGGCACTGTGCTAAGCACTGGGGATACAAAGAGAGGCAAAAGACAGTCCCTGTCCTCAAGGAGTTCCCAGTCTAATTGAGAGACAACATGAAAACGCTTGTGTACAAACGAGATATAGACAGACCTGCTGGAGCAGAGAGAAGGCGCTATAATTACGAGGAGTTGGGAAAGGCTTCCCCTTGAAGGTGGGATTTTAGCTTGGACCCCAAGGAAGCCAGGAGGCAGACATAAGAAGGAGGAGAGTTTCAGGTATCAGGGACAGCCAAAGAAAACGTTGGTAGTGAAGACATGGAAGAGTAAGGAAGCCAAGGTCACTGGGCTGTGAAGTGCATGGGAGTAAGGTATAAGAAGATTGGAAAAGGGGTGGGGGAGATTAGGAAGGGCCGTGAATGCCAGAGGATTTGATGTTTGATCCTGAAGGCCAAAGGGAGCCACTGGAGTCTATGGGGGAGAGGGTTGACATGGTCAGATCTTTAAGTACTTTAAGAAAAGCACTTTGGTGGCTGAATGGAGGATGGACTGGAGCAGGGAGAGACTTGGGGCAGGTAGGCCCCCCCAGAAGCTACTGCAGCCATCTAGGTGTGATGGGGATGAGAGTTTGCACCAGGGTCAGAGGAGTGAAAGGCACCTACGGGTAAAACCAATGGGCCTTGGCAATAGATAGGATATGGGGGATGAGCTTCAAGGCGGAGACCAAGAAGGAAAGCGGATCTCAAGATGAGGCTGAAGCATTTGGAGCTAAATGACCTATTGGAAACTCTGCCCACTGAGGAGAGAGCTTGACCCTCTAAGGACGAAGCCAAGGCTGTGGACTCAGAGGGGATTCATCCAGAGGAAGAGGAGATGGGGGTGGGGGTGTCACTGTAAAGAGACAGATTTCAACTGAATGTGAGGACATGCTTCCTAGCCATGAGAGCTGTCTCGAAGGGGGATGCTTATCTCAAGAGCTGGTCTCCCCTCCTTGGGGGTCTTCAAGAAGAAGCTGATCATTGGTCAGGGATGCTGTATATGTGTGGGGGGGCCCTTTCATGTATGGGATGACTAGATGGCTGCTGGGGTCCCTTCCAGTGCTGTGAGGGATGATGAAGCCACAATTAAGCAGCCAAAGACCTTCAGGACCCTGGGGGGAGGGAGAGGGGCACATCAGTGCTCCTCTGCCAAACTGTCTCACCAGCCAGAGCTAACTCCGGGCTTCAGTGTGCCAGCCACTATTGCGAAGAGCTGCTCCGTGCTTTGGTGTTCCTCCTATCAACTGTCCTTGCTCCCCTCTTCACTACCTGTTTCCTTTTAATAACGGTTTTTAAAATAATTCAGGTTTGAATTGTTTTTAAAAACTGAGGCAGTGATGCACTCCAGCTGTCTCTGCCACCAGTGCCCCTGTCCTGCATTATTGGAATTATTTCCCTTTGTGTCCAGATTTTTATCCTCCAGAATTTTCTGTCCCCTGGGCTGACTTCTCTGTCTATGGAATTGTGTGGCGCCTTCTAGCGATCATATGTGTAGTCAATAGGTGTCATTGTGGAGAGTAACATGGCCATTGAAAAGGGCTTCTATCATTGATGTTCAGCTGTGACGCAAATACCAGCTGGGTCCCCAAGAATTCTCCCCCTCCATTCTGGGGAGTGAAGAGAACTGACCACACCCGTCTGCAGACCCTGGGCCAGCTCAGGGCATGACCTTTTCACAAGCCCCCACCTCTACCCCCATCTCCCTCCTTTGACGCTGGTGATGGAAAAAGCCCAAGGGCTCCACAGGGGAAACGCCAGTGTTGGCTCCACAGAAATTAGCTTGACAAGTTTTTTCACCTAGGGTAAAACGCGATTCCGTGTGTCTTTTCTTCCTTTGTAAACCTAAAAAGCTTAAGAAATATATGGTTAATAAATTCATGCAAGTTTTGAACTTTTGTGAGATCCAAGAGGGGTCTTTGGTTCCCAGCTGAGATTTGGCTTCCCCATCCCATTGAGTTCTGGGTAGTCAAATACCCATTGGCTAATCTGAATCCCCCTATCCCCACTCTCTATAGCAAAGACATGAACTCAAGATGAAATTAGAATCATCTTTATCTAGAAAATCCATCATTAAAATACAGTGAGCAGGAAGCTTTAAAAAGGCAGAGGATCACTTAGTAGCAAATACCGCCACCTGTTGGCATGATGCGGTAAATTCAGAAGGGAGAAGAAAGTGGAGTCTCCGTGGTTCCAGTGGTCACTCCCTGTGGGCTTGTCTTTCCTTATTTTTTTTATGAAAAGAAAAAAAAAACATTTATTAAGCACTTATTATATGTAAAATGCTGTTAATAGAAAAGTAGGAAAGGCCTTGTTCTCCAGAAATTCACATCCTAATAGGGAGATGTCATATACAAGAGGCTTCAGCCGCAAGTCATAAGGACAGGTCCAGTGATCCTGCGGCAGAGCAGGTGGTAATATAGCTCCTTCAATTTCGTTTCAATTGACAAAGCCATATGTATTTCTTTTTTTTTTTAAAGAATATTTTATTTAAATAACATCTTATTTTTTCCATACAAAAACATTAACATTTAACAACTCTACCCTTCCCTAATCTAAGCTGCACACTCAGGACTTTTGTCCTAAATCTTGGTCCCAGAGTGGCCACTTCCAGTAGTCCGGAGTAGCCCATCTGATCCTGGAGCCACATTGTCAGAGCCTTGAAAGGACAGGCAGTGAGTGACTCCATATCCGGCTGAGCTCGGACCAAAGAGCAGGTCTCTGGCCTTGTGAAGCCTTGCCTCTGTGGACTGATTATACCCAGACACCCATGCCTCGGACCAGCCTGCTCCAGGCAGCCTTTTCAGATAGCCCTAGTGCCCCAGCCACTTGTACCTGCCTCCTCCCCTCCCCTCGCCGCCTGGTGGCTATGAGTGGTCCCTCTTCCCATTAGAATGTGAGGGGATGAGTTGCCTCCCTTCTGTCCAGGGGTCAGGCATTTCCATCACCCAGCAGGAGGTGCTTAACAAATGCTTGTTAGTTGATTTCTGAACCCCAAGAGTTTTCAGTTATAATCCTCCTAAAAAGACATTCCCAAACCATTTTGATTTGTTTCCTGCTCAGTCGAGAGGTGGGATGGCTGACTCCCTCTACTGTTGCATTCACGCTTTACAGAGAGGCCATTACAGACGCTGACACTGCCCTCGGTCTGCTCTGCCCTGCTAGGTCATCCGAGGCCTGCGACTTCGTGTCATAGGCTGGGAGCAAGGTCCAGAAGCCAATAGGCCTTCCACACCACTGGCCTGGAGGCCCCAAGGGCTTTCCCAGTCAGATTTCTCTCAAGTCTTGGGCATCATTTGCATGTTTATCTCTGGATATCTTCATGAGAGACCCAGCTGGTCTTCCAAGTGTCAGGAGTGAATCCAGTCCACGTTTGTTAAGCACCTACTGTGTGCGGAGCAGTGTGTTAGGCACGGCATGGAGGGAGGGCATATTTAGATATGTCCATGATTCAGTCAGCAGCCCTGAGGGGCTCCAAAGGGGCCAGGTATGAATGTGGCTAAGTGAGTCCCCAGAAACTGTTTCTGGATGGATGGGTCGCTCTGTTCCTGTGTGCATTTCTATGCATGTCCTGTTCTCTGTTTTTAAAAGGGGATGAAGTATCCAGGCCTAAAGTGCTTTGATCCACATAAGCCTGGAGAAATCCTTCTGATGGACCTGAATGACAAAAACCCGGAGGCCGTGGCGCTGCCGATCCATGGGGACGGGGTGGACTGGACCACACTTAACCCACATGGGATCAGCACATTCACAGATGAAGGTAAAATGTCAGGGTTATCTGGAGAAAGGGCGTCCTAAGGAGGGTGGACCCATATTCTCCCCAAGACCTCAAGCTGAGAATTTCTGCCTCAGCCCAAGCGTAGCTGTGTTCTGGGCCTGAGACTCCCCATCACAGTCATAGGACAGAGCGTGCAAGCACACGCATACATATATATGCATACATGCATGCATACATGGAATGGAGATGCATGCTAGAGCATGGTTTACATACTAGCTAGAAGCTCAGGGACAGCACTTCTCTGCCAGAGGGGATAGGGCTGGGGAGGTGTGGCAGGGTGCAGCCCCCCTGGAGGGCACCCAAGCCCTTGGGCACCGCTGGTGATGGCACTGAGCTGAGCACCTAATGAGATCTCAGAAGGGTGCTTCAAGGCCCAGAAAGCCTTTTGAAAGTTGCACTTTAATTGTGCAAGTGTTTGTGATGTCTTTCCATATGAGGCTCTAATCAAAATGGGGCTGGCTTTGGCATTGGGGCAGCTGGGTTTGAAACCCTGCCCTAGTTGTGGGATGTTGGGCCCGTCACATCCCCCATTCTGGACCGCCTTTGTTCTTGGACAAGAGTTTGGACTTGCTAACACCAAGATCCCTGCCAGCACGAACCTCTTCGGCCCTCGGGGTGGGTGTGGACTGACTGCAGGCTACTGGACCATGCCATTTCCTCCTAGAAGCTGCTCAGACATGGCCTGCTGGTGCTCAGCTCAGTGCCGTTACCAGGGGTGCCCAAGGGCATGGGTGCCCTCCACGGGAGCTGCACCCTCCCACACCCCCCACCTTGTCCCCTCTGGCAGAGAAGTGCTGTCCCTGAACTTCTGGTCTCTCAACTCCCATCTGTTAAAATTAAGACATTTTCTGAGACATTATTTTTGAGTGAAAATGATTTAATAGTAAGGCTAACAAGTTACCATTAAATCAGGTCAACTAATTCCTCAGTAATTAATGACAAAGGAGGGATCTACAGGCCGATTTTTATAACAGAAGAGAGGAATTTAAAAACCAGGAAGATTGCTTGGAACATAATTCAATTGGACAAGAGAGGTCATCTGCCTCGTCTGCTTCTCCTAGGCTACATCTGGCTTCAAAGTGAAATTGGCCCAGAAGTCCTCACCTGCAGGAGAAGCCTTTTGTGACCAGAAAACTCACTGAGAAAGAGGAACTGGGGGTTTGGAGTGAGGGTCACCCCCACCCTCCAGCAGCCAAGATTCCATTACTGGCCTTGGACTTAACATCTAGCTCAAGAAAGAAGGGGGCTTCTTGGTCACTAAGACCCAATCTTAGGCAATCCCACTTTCTCCAGCTGCCAGAAGGGGTTCCCTGGCCTTTAAAAAGAGTCTTATCATGCTACGATTCTTTTGGCCTTGCAAAGATGAAATGACCTGCTACTAAATGATAGGGTCTTCTCAATCTATCTAGCCACTAAATCAATAGGTAACCTAGACTTAAGAGAAGATCTTTGTTAGTCTGGCTTACCTGTTAGGGCTAACTTTTCCCAAAGAAAGGCGCTTAATCCTGCAATCAGACTAAAAAGAAACCAAAGTAATCGCTACGAATTGATTGAAGGGATATCCCCCTTTCACTGGCCTTCTCATGGGAAGCTGGTGGCCTTTCTCTGACCAGTGCCGCGGTCTGCCTCTCCCACTCATCCTCCTCGAGCTCCTGTTCCCTGGGCTCCTTCCCTGACACGTAACTATAACTATTCTCTCAAAGTTCTTCTTGGGGCGCGAGCCAGCTGCCTCTTCTGTCCACGTCCTGCCTGACAGCCTGTGGCCCTGTGTCCATCAGCCCTCTCTGCTCGCCCTCCTTCATCGCCTTTTCTTCTCCTGGCCTCTATCGACTCATTTTCCTTCTTCCACCTCGTATTGGTGACTAGAAGCATGGCCCTATGTTCCCTTTCCCCCGCTGATCCTGGGATGGCTCCACCAGAGTCCCACCTCCACAGCAGTGATCCCAAAGCCAGCGACGCCAGTCCTGTGTTCTGGTGGACCCCTCCTAGATGCCTCCTTTCCACCAATGGTGCTGGTATTCTTCCAGGAGCCTGAGCTCCAAGCCTCGGTTGTCTGGCTTCCTAGCTTCCTTATTTCTAGCTGGTCCCCAAGTCCCTTTGGGCCTTCCTAAGCAATACCTTCTTCTTGCCCCCCTTCTCTTTTTTACTGCCACAGACCCAATAAGGCCTTTATAGAGGCAACATGGCTGAGTGGAAGGGACATTCACTATGGAGTCAGAGGACCCCGCTTTGCATTCCAGACTCTCACTGGGTGACGTCACACCAGAGGCCTCAGTTTCCTCACCTGTCAAATGAGGGCCGGCCCCTTCTCTGGTTCCCTCCCCCTTAATCTGGTTTTTAGCATAACACAACAAATGGAGGACTGGATGTGCAGTCAGGAAGACCATGGGTTCAAATCTTGTCTCTGGCGCTTAGCTGTGGGATGGGCAATTCTGAACATCTCTGGGCCTCAGTTTCCTTGTCTGCAAACTGGGGATCAGAATGCCTGAATTGTCCCTCCATCAATTTGCTGTGAGGCTCAAATGAGCCAAGGCTCTCTACAGGTTCCATTCATGGCCTCGAAGGAGCTAGAGATATCTTGGTTATTGTCATGACTCTGCCCTCTCTCTCATCTACCCTGCAGCCTGCTCTGTCCCCATGGGCTTCCCTTTCTCAAGAACCTTCTGTGGCTGCCCATTTTCTGCCATGCCAAGTCTCAACTTCTTTGCCTGTCCTTCAGGGCAGCCTGTCCCCTATCTAGGCCCTGCCACATACACATACACGCAGGCACAATCCTCTGCTCCTCAAGCAGCCCAATCCATACACATGTTCTCTGCATCCCCAGCATCTCCTACTGTTCTCTGCCCAGTACAGACCCCACATGAGCAGACGCAGGCTCTGGCAGTGAGGGATGGTCCCACCGTCTTCCATTCTCTCTGGGGCCTCCCAAAAACATCTTCATGGGCAGATGCTGATTCCCCTGCTGGGGAGGCTTCTTGCTACCTGCATACAGCCTTGAGCCTCCAGTGACAGATAGTCCTGTCCTGCTTTGGCCCTTTCTGAGCATCAGGCCCAGATGTTCTCCCTCCTCAGGCCGGATGAGCCCCATGAAGTGAACCCTTATGGGAGGCAGGACAGAAGCCACCATCTTCTGGGCTGGGTTAATGCCTGGCTCTCTGTGACTCCCCTCAGATCACACCGTGTACCTGTTTGTGGTGAACCACCGAGGGCTCACGACCGCCGTGGAGCTGTTTAAGTTTCAAGAAGAAGAAAGATCCCTTCTGCACCTGAAAACGATACAACACGAGCTGCTTCCCAAGTATGGCCCCAAACAGGGACATGGTACTCCCCTCAACCCCACCTGCCTGGGCCTGGCCCTGCCCCCAAAGTCCCGCTCCTTGAACCTGGGCGGGGGGAAGAGTATTTTCCTGAGGGGTCTTCCTAGGCATTTTGTACTTTGGGCCCAAGGAATGGATGGGGACATTCTCCAAGAGGTCTCCTCTCCCACTTCACCAGAAATCCTCTGCTTCTGTTCCTCCCACAGCGGTGAGAGTGCTGTGAGACCAGGGCCCTCAGCTTCTCTCCTGGGGCATTATTGGCCTGTCCTTTGCTCCTTTGGATTGTTCTGGCTAAGCGCCCCAGAAGCTCAAAATAGCCAGCCCTTCTCTATTCCCGCCATAGTCATTCCCTCCATCTCATCATCTGAGTCTGGTTCCATTTGGGTGCAGCCTTCATGCCAATTGGGGAGTCAGCAGCAGGCCAATGGGGAGAAGAGGGGAAGCCCCATCCCTCCTCCACACCACATCAGCTCTTCTTGCCCGATGCTACTGATGCAGTTGACCCCCACTTGGCCAAAAGGGACCTCTAAGAAAGTCAAGGTTCCAGGTCAAGCCTGCGATGCGACATCCAGGCTCTCAGTAGGACCACCCCACAGGCCATCCTGGTGTGAAGAGGCCACCCTTTTCTCTCATGTGACTCCTCCCAGGCCAGAGCAGCCCCTGCATCAGGGATGTGGCCCACATTCTGACCCTCAAGGCACAAGAGCAGGGATTTCCAATCCCCACAGCTACCTCCTCAAGTCTGTTTTTTTCATTATAGGGAAAATCCCATTCCTGGCCAAGTATGAATGTGCTTTTCATTCTGGAATGTTCTGTCCCTGTGTTTACAATGCAGTATGAACGATATCGTTGCTGTGGGACGTGAGCATTTCTACGCCACCAATGACCACTACTTCTCTGACCCCTATCTTCGGTCCTGGGAGATGTACTTGGGTTTGAAATGGTCCAATGTGGTTTACTACAGCCCGAGTGCAGTGCGTGAGGTTGCCGGTGGCTTTGACCTTGCCAATGGCATCAACATTTCACCTGATGGGAAGTATGTGACCTCTTACAAAAGTCAGCTGAATTCCCAACCTCAGATTTCTTCCTAGGAATTTTCCAGGCCTGGTCAGGATTAGTACCAGATGCCATTGGGCTGAAAACAGAGAAAGGACACAGCAAAGGCTACCACACAGTGGGATCTGAACTCTGGGGTTAGCACTGACCTGCTCATCCTCCTCACGACTTCAGCAGCAGACACTTAATGACTAATAGCTATAATAATTGCTAATATTTATATGGCATGCTAGAGACTGAAAAGTACATATATCACTCCATACAAATGCAGAGGTTAGGCGGTGCCTGCCAGAGAGTTTACATTCTCACCCCAGCGGGGAGCAGTGGGCAGGAGAGGGACTTCTGGAGAGTGGAACCACTGGGCGGGCAGCCAGCTGGCAGAGATGTTATGAAAGGTCTTAGGACAAGAGGCGGAAAGCTGAGGAGGTGCAGAGAGGAAGATCATCTCTCCTCCCAGCAGGCACAGTCCCTGGTGGTCCAGTCTGGAGGGTGGAACAGCAGCAGAAATGTGGGTGAGCAGGGCAAGAAGGTGAAGATGTTGGCATTGGCCATAACAAAATCATCACTGGGCTGAGGCACAGTGAGATCAAACGTGCTTTCTAGAAAGAAACAAGTCCTTTCTCTGTGAAGGACACTCCTGGAGGTGGCCAAGGAGGTGACTTCTTCAGAAGGCAGGGCCCCGCTTTGTGAAGACTTCCCTCACTTGCACATCCTTTATCGGGGGTTTTTAATGTCGGTCTTTCTTCTCTTAAAGGTACCTTTACATGGCTGAAATGCTGGGTCCTAAGATTCATGTCTTTGAAAAACTTGCCAATGGGAACCTTGTGCCACTGAAGGTAAGATGCATTTTCCCACCAAGGCAGCAAAGACAGGAAACATCTCTAGGACTGAGCATGTCAAAGGTCTGCTTCCCTGGAAGACATGGAAGCCCACCAGTGACTAGAATTGGTGTAGGAGTCCAGAGAGGAGGGGAATGAAGCTTGGCCAGCCTGGGCCCTTCCCCAAAATGGAGGTCCCTGGAGGAACAAGGGGGCAGCATGGTGAAGGGACGATCCAGAATGAGGACATCCCAGGGCAGGTGGATTATCTAAGGTGAGACAGTCCTAGAGGAAGATGGATGATGCAGAGGAAGGATGACCCAGGAGCTGCGACAACAGCTCCAGCATTATGATGACATAGTCTAGAAAGTGGGAAACAAAGCCGAGGAATAGATGCAGAAAACAGCTCTAGCATTTGTGGTCATTCCCTCAGGAGAAACTGACCATTGGTGGCCATTCGGGCCACTCCCACTCTCACATGAATTGCTACTGTGAAGCTTCCCACTCTTGGAGTCCACAAGCTGTGGAGGGGGACATACCTAAAGGCAGGAAGGTGGGATCAGGGAGATGGTTTTTATCCTGAGACACATTTAGAGAAGACCGACTGAATTTGCTTCCTCGCTCTATTTTTAAAGTAGAATTTTAAGAAGTGTTGAAATCATTGTGCTAGGTTCCAGGGGCCTCTCCATTTTCCTAAGGGGTCTCCTCTGCTCTGGACCACTGCACATGGTAGGGCCTGGCCTCCATCAGAAATGCTAAACTCCCCTTTCCTCACTCTTGGGTTCTCCCATCCCCCCCCACAATGCCTGGGGGAAGATTTACTCGTAGCCTGACTTGTGCTTAATCTCTCCCAAAGGGGGAGTAGAAAAGAACTCAGTGTGCACCAGTGCATCACCAGGTATGAGACTACTAAAGGCCACACACAATAGAAATGCCAAAAGACGTAAATAACTTCTAATGCGTATTGACAGAATGACTTAGCATTCACTTAATTACTACCATTATTACAATCGCACCTCATTAGAGTATAAAGCACTGTGGTCCTGCACTGTCTAAACAAATCTTGGTTCCTATCTTCTGAGAGCGCTCCTTTCCTCTGATGGGCTCAGGGCCTCACGACCTCTTGAACTCATGAGGTCACCTCCAAGACTCAGGACAGGAAACACAAAGCAGGATCCCAAGCTTGTGCCTGCTGGTTGAGTCCATGCTCTTCATGGAAGCGGGATCCGTCTCCCCACCCCACACCATACACCTAGCTAGTGACAGGCAGTGCTACTTCCACATGGGCTATTCAGCAGAGGACAGGGAGCCAGAAGCAGTCTCTACTTTGTAATTGCCACAGCACTGTGTGTACTTGCTACTGTCCTGGTCCAGGGCGAGGACCAAGGTTTGCACCTGAGTGCCAAGTCTTTGTGGGGCTGAGCCACCACGTGGCCAATAGTAGCAGCAGAGGCATCTCAAAAGAATTTTAGTCCATGTGATCCGGCCGGATCTTCTTTAATTCTCCCAAAAGCTAGGGTGAAATGGGGGTGTTTGATGGACTCAAAGCCCGCTATAAGTTAGCGGTGTGAGATGACAACCGAGAAAGGTCTGTTCATCTGGAGCTACGTTAAGCGGTATAGCTTCCTGCATAGAACCAGACTGCCTTGAGGCATCTCCCTGTGTCTAGGCAGGTCAGCACCTTCATCTTGGAGAGCTCCTGAAGCACTGAGAGGGTGGGATTTGGCCAGAATGTGGCAGAGGCAGGACACTTTGAAGCAGGCAGCTCTCCCAGCTGCACCAGGACCGTCCCTCTCTATTTCAGAGTCAGGGGGGTGGTCGTCCTGCCGTCCTCTTCAGACCTCATCTACAACGGAATGTTTGGTTGGGGGTGGCATATTCTAGGAAGGATGATCGTGACCTTGGGGGTGTCCAGAGGATGGCAACCACGATAATGAAGGACCTTCAGCCTACGACCAGCCTGGGACAGAGGTCCTGGGCACTGTGTCACGTGGAGGAGAGATGATAGCTCTGCTTGGCCAGGGCAGAACCGGGAGCAGTGGAGGAAGCTGCCGAGAGGCCCATTTGTGGCTCTCTCAGGCCTTGGCTTTTTCTCAATGTGTGGTGCTCCTGGGGAGCCATGGCCAGCAGATGTGGTCAGCAGACGTGGGCATTTGGGAATCAGCCAGTCGAGTCCCACCTCGTGGCAGAAGGTGGCACACGTTCACGTGCAGCCAGAACATTAGTGAGCCCAACAGTAAAGAAAACTAAAAGTACCAACCCCCTCCCCCTGAGGCTGGAAAGTGGGGCCTGGGGCCACACACCCTCTTGGGGGAGGGGTCATAGTGTTCATCTCACTGGGGCTTGAAACAGACCAACTGGACAGAGCCTTGGTCTTGTTCAAAGGCCCAGGACTTCCTTCCTGAGTCCTCTCTGCCATGCTCCTCCTCAATCCATCCATCAATCAGCAAACAAGTACTGAGTACACCAGCTCCACTATGGGCCAGGCTCTGGGCTGGGTGCCAGGGATACCAAGACAGAGGTGAAGCAAGCAGAGGAAACATGCCCAGGTACACACAAAACACCCACAGCACATAACCAGATGGGAGGACATGAGCCTCTGGGCAGAGAAAGAAGGTCTTCCCGAAGCCTTGAAGGAAGCCAGGGAGGCACCTGAGGAGGGAACCCAAGAGGCAGAGGCCAGGAGGGACAGCAGTTCTGGCCGGGACGGGGATGGGCTGAGTTGGGAAATGGGTGTCCTTTGTGAATAAGCAGCCTTGTGTGGCCCCACCTGGGGTTGGAGCTTCCTGGTCCACACTGGAGGATATCTTCCCTGACATGTTCTTGTGCATGTATGTGCACGGGGGCATCTGTATTTACGCTAGCCCAGAAAACACGCACACTTGTGCCACCACATCATCTCCATTTGGGGTTTATTCATCAGAGCAGGGCATGGCTGGCTTTTTCAGGCGATTTAACCCAATGGGCCACTTTTCCTTCCCCATTCCTGTCCCCTCTCCCTACCTCCTCTTCCTTTTTGGAAGAAGATCAGGCTGGAGCATTGCCCACCTGTCAGGACAGGCTTTCTCCCAGGTCCTTCACCTCTCATTCTCTCATTCTGGGAAACTATCCACAATAGAAATGGCTGCATGGAGGATGCCTATGAGTTTCTATTACTGCAATGTGTTTCTGGAACCCAGAAGATGAGAAAATGGCCGTGAGTCCCAGGAGCTGCTGCTTCTGACATGGTTTTGTTGTGTCTCGATTCTCTGTGTGTCTGTCTGTCTCTCAACATTTCGGAAGTCCCTTGTTTTTGACACCCTCGTGGATAACTTGTCTGTGGATCCCACCACAGGGGATGTGTGGGTTGGGTGCCATCCCGACGGCATGAGACTTTTGTTCTATGACCCAGAGAATTTACCTGCATCAGAGGTGAGTTTTGGGAAGACATTTAGACATTTTCTTTCTTCTCCCCAGTAATGTTCCCACTGGAAAACTTATCCCTTAACTTAGCAGAAGTTCTATTTTAAAGAGATAGTTCAGCTGGAAAGGTGTTTAAAAGAAACAACTATTGCATTTTGATTATGATTTGATCTGCCTCCGATTCTGTGGGGAATCCCAATCAAGCTGAACTGGGCCAATGTGGCCTCCCCAGCAGAGGAATGGGACCTTCCCTCTCACCAGCCCTGAGGCAGAGCTGGCCTTTCTCTTTAGACTTGCTGGTTAATATTAAGAATGATAGTTTACATTTAGTGTGTGACCAAACACTTGAGAGACTTTATCTCATTTAAAGGCAGCTAGGTGGGACAGTGAATGGAGTGCTGGGTTTGGATGAGGAAGACCCAAGTTTAAATCCAGCCTCACACACTTTGTAGCTGTGTGATCCTGAGCAAATCACTTCACCTTGTCTGCCTCAATTTCCTCAACTGTGAAATAGGCATAATAACAGCATCGACCTCAGGGTTGTTGTGAGGCTCCAGTGAGATATTTGTGAAGCACTTAGATCAGTGCCTGGCATGCAGTAGGTGCTTAATAAATGCTTATCCTCTTA